TTCCACTTTGCTTGGTTAATTACTTAACTGGTCAAAGAATGCTAAGCTCTTATGTAGCCGTAAGTGTCATTAACTTATTCACAAAAGGCAAACTTGACTCCATCTAGTGTCATCTGAATCCAGTCCACACTTTTACATTCCACTGATCCAAAATCCATTCGTATACAGAAAATGTTCTAGTAGATTCTAAAGGTTTCAGACTTGGTGTATAACACAGAATTACTGGGTTTTTGTACTTTTCCATCGTCCAGTATTATAGAAAATAGAAAACACGACGTTTCGGAAACTGGATCTCTTTCCGTCCCCAGGTGAGAGGGGGAAGACACCTACTCAGTTGGAGCCCTTAGAAAGAGCTGATCTCAATCACTGGATTGAGTGATATTAGCTCTTTCTAAGGGGTCCAACTGAGTAGGTGTCTTCCCCCTCTCACCTGGGGACGGAAACAGATTCAGGTTCCGAAACGTCGTGTTTTCTATTTTCTAGAATACCGGACGATGGGAAAAGTTTAAAACCCCAGTAACTTTGTGAGAAAATTTTTTTTTCCATTGAAGTTTTTCGACTGAAATTTTAAATTTCCTTTTTCCCCCCCCCCCCCAGCGCTGTTTGTCTTATCAACTGATACCTCATAATTCGATCATCAAAAAATATTACATAAAGGGGAATATTTGCCCTTCTGTTTAAAATTTTCGATTGATAATTTTTGCACGCTGTTATTAGTTAGATTATATAGCGTCGAATGGAAGGATGACAGAGTAATAGTGAATTGGAAAGGACTTGGAAGGAAGTTGTCTTGGCCTAACAGGGACAATATCTCGGATCTTCCCTGAAGGGACTGAGGAACACCATGAAGAATAATAAAAGCACCCGGTGTCACAGCCGGGATTCGAACCGAGTACCTATCTAATACGAATCTATAGCATTGCCATTACGTAACTTCGCTAGGTACTGTGCTAAATTAAGCTCCACGAAATTAAGGCGTATGGGAGAGTGGAGTATAGCTCTACACATTTTTAATCTCGACACCAGATAGAGGTTAACGGCCACTTTCGAGTCAAGATAGCTCTACCCTCGAGGGAAGAGGCTCCCGATACCCACTGAACAGGAGGTTGGGTGGGCACAGAGCTAGCCTGCACATTGTAGAAGATATCTACTCCCTGTACGGAATCGAACCCCTATTCTCCAGTCCTCCAGCCAGTAATAATTTTATTAAAATAATGTTATATTAGACCGATACAAATTGAAATTAAATTTAAGTATTCCATCTTCTGTGACGTGAGGCCGTGTAGTTTATGGCCACCGCTGTGAAAACCTCAGATCAACAAAATTAGAGTTGTAGATTTCTATCTTCTGGGATATAACGCCGTGTAGTCTCACGAAAGTCAGTCGACGTTTCGGAGGAACATACCGCTTCAGATCCAATGTTCAATTCTCCCGGCAGTCTTTGTGTGGTCTCACATATAAAAATTAATTGAAAGCTATGAAATAGATTCGAAGATGAAAGATGTCTGCAGACGGATTCGACAAGAGCGCTGGAAATTCCATTTTAAGCACTTTGTAAAACGATAGCATGAAATATATCGGAATAAAATATGGCTTTAATCTTATCGCTTGATTTGAGGTGAAATAATGTTCTGAGATTGTTAAGTTTCATCACTAACAAAATATAATATGCTCACATTGGGCTTAAGTATCAGACAATTAAACTTCCATCAAATTTAATTTCCAGTACTGATTTATTTGACAATGTTTGAGAGTAAGTTTATTCTGGAAGAAAAAACCTGAAAATACAAGCAGGAACTTTAAAGCCCTCCGGGGTCTTGGTCTCCGGTGACCATTGCTTGGTCACTTTGTAGTCAGCTTGTCATTCGACTACATCAGAATTACAGGCGGTAATATTAACACACAGCCCTGAAAACAAACTTGCTCTTCAAGGAAGCCTTTTACTCTAGGCAACCCATCTATCAGAGGAGTATTGTGGGTAGAGTCCACAAGGCTTAGCTGTAACACAAAGGTTCTATTCAGCGGTGAATAGTACGGACAGCATTATGTCATAAACAGATGCATCAAATACAGAATCAACCCTTTGTTTACAGTCCCTCCAATCAATGAACCAGTAATCATTTCATACTCACAGAAGGTCATAGCTTTTCTTACGACTTAAGTTAAAAGGAATACATTTCTTCTTTTAACACCACTTGATTCTAGATGGCAGCAACAACAGCAGAAGAGTATGGAATGAGTAAATTTATGGTAATGAATCACACTTCACTGGGGTTGATTTTTAAATATAATATAAATGTATGGAAATATAAATTTATCTAAAATATGCTTATTATTGTACATTTTATCACTCCTAAATAAATTATAAGTATCTTTGCAGTATGCAAATAATTTTGCATTATTTTCTTAAGTTTACCAGTTACTAGCATTTAATATGTATAATTTCGAGGTACTGTAGAAAGAAAACTATTTCAATTTTTTTGATAGGCTTCAATTTTGAAAATTATTCTTATTACCTTCTAAATAAATAAATCTTATATTCTGTAACATATTATATCATTCAGTCAAGTATTAATATTTCCCATGTTACGAACGAGATATCGTATTATATCGTATCGTTTATAAACACAAAATTTTGCTCGCTAAGAACGTCTCTAATATTTGACAGTGCCAGTAAGGCCTAAATATCTTCTGCCATATCTTGTTGTTCCACGTGTCTATCAATAAACTATTACTATGGTATACAAACAAAGAAGTACATTTCATTTTTAACACCCGGAAGGAAAGAATTAATTCTAAATATTCGGAAAAACATACTTAAAAGCAAACCTTGCTTTAATGTGTGGTTTGCAGTCTTAATAAAAAAGTCATTTGGACTCTGTTATAAACAAGTATCTGTTTTAAGGAATAAGGTTGCATTTTCAAAAGAGGCTCAGATTGTGGTATTGTGAGTTATGGAACCTCGGAGTTCCACCAAAATATTGGTAACCCCATAAGAGACTAAAAGGTGTAATAACCCTGAAGACCATAATTTAAATATCAAATATCATTTTCCTGGTAAGATCTAAAAGTTTGTGACGATAGTAAATTAATACAAGTAATATGTTTTTGGACATTATCCATCGTCTTGTCTATTTTTAAGAAACCGTTCTGTTTCTTTTTAAAACAAAATGTTCCTGACCGGACCGGAGATAGAGGCTAGCTCTATCTATTTGACTCAACTGAGTAGGTTTTACCTGAGAACGGAGACAGAATCCAGTCTCCGAAACGTTGTGTTTAAAAAAAAACAGGACGGTTTTTTAAAAATAGACAAGACGATGGATAATGTCCAAAAACATGTAACTTGTATCTTTTTCCTGATTCTGAAGGCAGGGGTTTCTGTGAAAAGTTGGTACCTCTCTACTAGACCACACACGACGTCATGTCCCGAAAGACAGGAATCTTCATAGTCACCACCATGAGAACCAAATTTCATCATTAAATGAGTTAATTTTAAAGATCAGACATATACACGTACGATGTATGGTAACTGAGGGCACCAATGTACCTAAGAAATGTTTGCCATCCGAGTAACTATATCGAACTTTATTTGGTGGGTACTAGGTTCAAATCTTGGGCCGCGCCATAGCTGAAGCGGTTAGTCGCTAGCTTCCCACCGCGGCGACCCGGGTTCGTTCCCGGGTCTGGTCAAGTGGGATTTGTGGTGGACAAATTGGCGCTGGGGAAGGTTTTCTCTAAGTACTTCGGTTTACCCTGCCAATCTGCATTCCACCAGTTGCTCCACAATCACCCTCACCTATCATCTGAGGCTGGTACAATAGGCCAGAAGTGGCCGCAGTACAAGGGACTTAGTACCACCCCACTAGCAATAAAAAAAAAGTTCCAATCTCAGCTGAACTATTGTATCTTCTTTTTGTCTTTCCAGGCAATTTTGCGGATAGTAGCTTGAAATAAACCACGACCTCCGTCTTTCAAATTCATACCTACATACAGTTCCTGTCATATTTTACCACCTCATCCGATGCTACGTAGCATCTCCAGCTGAAATAATGTCATTAAATAACTCAATGCAAACTCAATGCATTTCGGCACGAGGAAGTCATTATGCTCTAAATATAAAATCATCAGTGTCTTCAAATGCAGCAAGCTTGTCTAAAATAGACATCTACCTTTATCAGAAATGTATCCCGTGTTACGAAAACACGTGAATAATCAGCGATTGGAACTTAAATTCCTTACTCAATAACCAGGAAGTTCGAGGATGTGATAATGTGCTGCATGGTCAGGGCTCTTGCGCACCTGAAGGGGCAATGACAGATGAGCGTGGAGCAATGGTGGCATGATGACTGGTAGGAGAAAACCAAACTTACAAAAAGAGAATCCTGCTCCTGTGCCACTTCGTCCACCACGAAACTCACATGAAGCCACCCGGCACTGACTCCAGGTCTCCGAGGTGCGCAATGGTAGAGGATGGTCACGTTCTGTCAAATCAGCTAACTGGAAAGGGGGAACAACCACATGGTGAACTGTGAATTATCTACCTCGAATCATCAACCGTAGTTTTTTTTTGTTTTGTTTTCCTTGGCACTACAGCCCCAGTGGGCCTAGGCCTACCTCCATGAACTTTTCGGTTCACTTCGGTTTTTCTAGATCTTACGCATTCGTTAGGACTCCTTGGGCGGGTGATCAGATCGTCGCAAGGCACAGACACAGAAAAATGCACACACACAAACTAAACATCCGTGCCCTGAGTGGGATTCGAACCCACGATCCCGCTTTCCAAGCGAGCGAAGACAGTACATACCTTAGACCGCTCGGCTACCGTGACCGGCCAACCGTAGTTTAGAGGTCACTACTCGTAATTGCAAACATACATTCGCGGGCAAGATGTCGCACTGGCAGAAATTACGATCATTTCGTGCCCATTGTAATTATTCAGTATTACTGAAATTAAATGTGAAGCTGACGTATTTCATGTTGAGCGTGTTATAAAAAGCGTTAAACCTATGAAATGCTTATCTGTACCTCGTTCTTTTCCATTCTTTTGCAATTGTTTTGACCAACACAATTACGTGTCTTCCGCCTTGCAGAGCAAGGTTAAGGGAAGGGCAGACGTCGAGAGGTTCACGCTGAGTTGTAGAAGTTACTAGTCAATTTCAGATAAATAAAATGACTTCAAGATTTTCTGTGGTGAAAGTTGGCCCTCCAATTGAAGTGTTTGCAGTGAACAAAGCGTATTTAGACGACACTTCCGATTTAAAAGTGAATTTAAGTGTCGGAGGTAAGGTTATGTAAAAAGGGGTTTAACCATTTGACCTTAGTTTTGGAGAATATTTGTAGGAAGCTATAGGTATGCATATTTTTTTATTTAAGATTGAAATACTTTGAAGTTGAAAATAAAAAGTTTGGAAATTAAAATTAACAGAACCTGTTCATCATCATGCTTGCAGAGGAACTTATTTAATTGTGGACTCTTGACAGCATATGTAACTGCACCCCATTTTCCTTTTAAAGTTCTGAAAATATGATGGTATTATGTAGTGTACAGGCTCGGATTCTTTTTAGTATGTATCGCATAGAAAACTTGAATTATGAAATCTAAGTGTAGCAGAGTTTTATGCTTCCAAAATTTGAAATTTCATGACTGTAATATCGTTCAGGCAACTTTTGGTGTAACATGTCATTTTACCATACATGTAGTAGTTACAGTTTGATTGGCCCTTCATCATATTCCAATCTTACACTTCATCATATTCCAATCTTACACTTCCCTTTCCTTTCCATACTTATGTATCTGTGTACTGTAACACAGACTAACTCCATGGAGTGAAGTCCTTCTTGAGAAGTTGATAGTGCTCACATGGACAAAATATTCCTAACTTTTCTAGAACCCAAAGGTTCTTTGCTACATCATAATATCGAATGATAAATGACATGAAGGTTCTACATTTAACTGGGGAATATTGAGAGGAATTGATTGTGACTCAATTTAAAATACTCTTCTGCTGTTTTCCATAAAGCACCAAGAAAGAAATTGATTGATATCTGAACGGGTAGGTCGTGGGTTATGAAACAGGTGAGAATTGTGTGTAAAAATATAGAATAGGCAGCCATGGTGAAGGGTAAAAGCCATAATAATTTATTTTGTGTGCATACAGGTTAAATATTGCAACGAAACCCAAATTTTGACAAGTGCATGGATATGGCTACTGCAAAACTGCTGTACATTAGCTTCAGAGAGTTATGTGACAAGTCTGGCAGCATTAAGAAGCCATTAGATATAGTTGCATTGTAAATAATGTCCTTTAGTAGCTACACATTTCTTGTATATGCTTCTGCCATATATCTTGTTGATACCACCAGATATAATTTTGTTTGTTATAGTTAGAGCATGAACGGGGAAGTTCATGGAGGTAGGTCTAGGCCCACTGGGGCTGTAGTGCCAAGGAAAAAAAATTGTTAGAACACTGAAGGTGTTTGAGAACAGGGTGTTGAGAATATTTGGACCGAAGAGAGATGAAGTAGAGAAAACTGCATAGTGAGGAGCTTCATAGCTTGTACTCTTCTCCAAGTATAATTAGAATGATCAAGTCAAGGAGGATGAGGTGGACAGGGCATGTAGCATGAATGGGGAAGAAGAGGAATGCATATAGGATATGGGTGGGAAAGCCAGAAGGAAAGAGACCACTGGGAAGACCAAGGCATAGGTGGGTGGACAATATTAAAATGGATCTTAGAGTGATAGGATGTGATGGTATGGATTGGATTTATCTGGCTCAGGATAGGGACCAGTGGAGGGCTCTTGTGAACATGATAATGAACCTTTGGGTTCCCTAAAATGCTGGGAAATTCTTGAGTAGCTGCAGATTTGGCTTCTCCTCAAGAAGGGCTCAGCTCCTTAAGTAAGTAAGTAATAGAGCAGTCGATATAGTCCCTGCATGATTGATAATATTTGTGTGTAAGCAATTACTTAGAGTGATCGGAGCAGAGGGTTGAAGGGAAGTGAAGAGAAGCAGTAATGCAACTCTTAGAGTTAAACTTTTTCTAATTTGTGAAGTATTGTCACAAGTCATTTGAAAAGGAAAAGGTGCAAGTTGTAGATAACCCCTTCACACTATAACACTGAATGTGTTAATTTTCTTCTGTAACTTATGCTGCTGTTGACTCCAAGTATATTAGCTTACAGAACTGATGAAGGGAAGCCGTGGGTTCTGCCTGTTGTACGGAAGACTGAGAAGCAACTGGCTGATGATGAGACACTGAATCATGAATACCTGCCTGTTCTTGGTTTGGATGCTTGCAGCTCTGCAGCCACTAAAATGTTACTGGGTGCGGATTCAAGCGCATTCGCACAAGGAAGGGTATGATTAACTTAATTCATGGTGGTTTAAGATCAAGAGCTGCTTAACTGTATCTCTTTAGATATATTAATGTAAGTGCCCTTCATTGAAGGGTGTTATAACAGAATCTATAACTCAGCCTTTATATCTGTGTTTATTCCACTGGTCCCTTTCATTTTTAGGTTAAAATGAAGGTTATGATATGAAGCAGTAAGAATGCCTTCTGGCTGAAATAAATAGGGAATATCTTCATCTAAATATGATCTTATTATATGTGATCATTGCACTGGGATTCTGATCTTGTATTTATGTAACTTCAGGAACCAGCTCCAACATCTGATTTTACAGTCAATTTTCAGTACCCAGCAAGTAACAGGAATATAAGTTGAGGCCAACAGATCCCTGTTTTATAAATGCACTGGCTAATTTGTGAAAGTTCTGCATTTCTTGATAGTAATTAATTAAAAATATAAATGAAAAGCAGTAATTAGAGATATAATAACTCATCAGTTAGTGACATACATTATTACATTCTTATTAGAAAGTTTCTAAATCCTCTTTTCAGAGTACCTTATTAAATTCTTATTAGAAAGTTTCTAAATCCTCTTTTCAGAGTACCTTCTGACATCCATACGCTAGATGGAAATTCAAACATATGTACAAGGGATGGGGCACATGGTAGCATAGTTGGTTGAGGCACTATGCTGCAAGCCGGAAGGTTGCTAGTTTCATTCCTAAGTAAAAGCAAAGTAAAGCTATCCCTGTAACAGGCCATGAAGGCCCATAGGGTTGTGAGATGTTGAGGGTCCCACATTATCTAGACAATCGGCTCAAAGATGGCGGTAAAGTTGTCAGCCTTACGTGCCGGCTGCACTTTACTCCCCAGGAAAATTATTTAATTCCTAGCACTCATTTCTGTTAGAGGCTGAGTGAACCCCAGGGCCATAGTGCGGCCAGAAGGATTAGGTCAACTGAAAAATTCCAATGACCTCATCAGTATTTGAACCTGAAACCTTCCGACTTGTAGCATAGTGCTGCTAGTTTCATTCCTGATGAGGTTAATGAATTTTTTAGTTGATGTAATCCTTCCAGACACACTAAAGCCCTGAGGTAGATGCAGCCTCTAACAGAAATGAGTACCGTGAATCTTCCTGGTGGTAAAGGGCAGCTGGCATGAAAGAATGATAACCTTACTGCCATCCGTGAGCCAATTGTCTAGAAAATGTGGGAGCCTCAATGTCTCAGCCCTGTGGGTCTCCACAGCCTCTTACAGGGATAGCCTTACCTTTATAATGACTTAAAAATATAGATTACCATCAGATGTTGTAATTTGGGGTGGTCCATCCAGAGTCCTCCCATACCAGACCAAGGAAAATTGATCATCATGTTAGTAAAAATGAACTACGGAAATACTGTAGACATGTAACAATCTAGAACCTCACTTTGCTGTACAAGGAAAGGTGGTTTAAGTTTCTAACTGAGGGTTGTAATAAACATGTTTCTTTTACAGGCATTTGGTGTTCAGACTCTGAGTGGTACAGGTGCCTTAAGGGTTGGTGCTGAATTTCTGCTTCGACAGCTCAAGTACACAACCTTCTATTACTCATCACCAACATGGGGTAATTACATTGCTGAGCAGAATTTAGAACCAGAAGGAGAATTAGAACTGTTTCAACGTAATTATTATAGGTTACTGAGTGACTGATTAATTGATTTTTAGGTTTATTTGATAACTCTTTAACATGCAACTTTTTGAGGTTACATACTCAAGTGATGGTTGTGAAGCAGCCATTGTACTTAAATGTAAAGTGTGTTGTTACGGAAGTGGCATGCAAATTGTACATGAATGGGTATCTGTTTATTTTTGTATTAATAACATATTTATGTTACCACACTAATAACTCTGTTTATAAGACACTTGAATAGGATCAGTGTCATTTCCGCTTCCCATGCCTGTGTAATTACACATCTGCTTTGTTACCAGAATTAGAGTTTTTCATGATTTTTCAGTCAGCACCAACTGAAACATGGCTGATGTCTGATCTAACAGAACCATAAACATGCATGTGCATAGCTGTGTTCAGTGACACCTAGGTCAGAGGAAGCTGGAGAGAAGGGGAAACCTGTGTTACAGGGCGGGGAACATATAGCACGGGGCAGTGGACATCATTTGATTTGTATTTCTCAGTGGTTAAAGCTTGAGGAGGGGAGGGGGAGTAAGCTGCTCACAATTGGATTATGGAATCCAAATTTTCTCCCAAACAAGGGTTGGATACAGAGGGTGGGTTAATGGGACTTTTAGTGGTTGCCAGCCATAAATAAGTTCGGAAGCACAACTGGAAATATAATTGTTGCAAAAATGTATGGGAAAACAGTGGCGGCTGGTTAGGAATTGCTTGTTGTGATTAATGTGCCAGAAGGAGGCCCTCGTTTTATGCAGTTTGTTTTCCGTGTACGCAATGTTAAGAAATTTATGCTTCCAGTAGTTTTTGTTGCTATGTTGAAGTTCCATTATAAGCTAAACTTGTTCAATTGTGGTTTCACTGTATTGATTTTGTGACTAGAGAATCATCACTTGCTCTTCACCAATGCTGGCTTCACGGAACCACGTCAGTATCGCTATTGGAATGCAGAGACTCGTTCACTGGACCTAGATGGCTTTTTAGAAGATTTGCGTGCAGCGCCTAAAGACTCTGTCATCATTCTTCATGCGTGTGCCCACAATCCAACAGGCTGTGATCCAACTCATGAACAATGGACCCAGATAGCTGATGTCATAGAAGAAAGACAGCTGTTCCCATTTTTTGATTCAGCATATCAAGGTTTTGCTTCTGGGGATCTTGAGAAAGATGCCTGGGCAGTACGTTACTTCGCCGACAGAGGCTTTGAATTGCTTTGTGCTCAGTCTTTTGCCAAGAATTTTGGACTCTATAGTAAGAATTCATGTTTACTATCTTTTATTATATGAAAAGACTTCTGTAACTTTATGAAGGGAATGGAGACTAAGAGGAGTTATATCTTCTGGGATATAACGCCATGTACTCTGTTGAAAGTCAACCAACATTTTGGAGGAACACATCACTTTTATCTTCCGGGTTGAAGAATAAGCCATGCAAGAAGACAACATGGAAACAGGTGGTAAGCAGAGTCACCTGCTTGCCACATGTTTTCATGCCAGTTTCTTGCTCGGCTTATTCTTCAACCCTGAAAATGGAGGCGACACGTTCCTCCAAAATATCGGTTGACTATCAATGGACTACACATCATATCTGAGAAGATAGAACTTTTCATAACCACGCTGTGAAACTATCAAATCCTACAGAATGGAGACTGAATCACTTAATAGGACTGTGTAGATGTTTATATATATGGGGGTAACTGTCTCAGTTAGCAAGAAGATAAAATATGATCTTGGCTGCTTGGATTCAGTTCTTGTCAGGGTCAGACATTTTCCTCTTCAGCCACTACATGTAAAGCTGACCATTAATCTCAACCCACTACTGAAGTTAAAAATTCATAGAGATTTAACAGCACACCCTGATAAGTCTTCACGGCACGGTTCGTAGATATGGGGACAACTTTTTTTTTATATCGCTTTATGGTCTGTTCAGGTTAATGGATTAAAATGTAACTCACTCACTCATGGAGCTGAGCCCTTCTTGAGAAGCTGTCAATTGTGCAGTTACACAATTTCCCAGCATTTAAGGAACCTGAAGTTTCATTACCATGTTCACAAAAGCCTTCCACTGGTCCCTATCCTGGGCCAGATCAATGCACATCATCCCGTCCCATCTCTCTAAGATCCATTTTAATATTGTCCACCCACCTATGCTTTGGTCTTCCCAGTGGTCTCTTTCCTTCCTTCCAATATCCTATATGCATTCATCTTCTCCCCCATTCGTGCTGAATGCCCAGCCCACCTCATCCTCCTTGACTTGATGATTCTAATTATACTTGAAGAAGAGTACAAGTTTTGAAGCTCCTCATTATGCAGTTTTCTCCAGTCTCCTATCACTTCATCTCTCCTCAGTCCAAATATTCTCCTTATCACCCTGTTCTCAAACACTTTCAGTCTATGTTCCTCCCTTAATGTCAGAGACCAAGTTTCACAGCCATACAGAACCACAGGCAAAATTATAGTTTTGTGTATTCTGATCTTTGTTTTTGGACAGCAGACGAGAAAACGAAAGTTTCTGGACTGAATGGTAGCAAGCATTACCTGAGTTCAATCTCCTCTTAATTTCCTTGTGAATCAAATTTTGATTTGTTATCGTCGTTCCAAAATATCTGAATTGTGCCACATTTTCAAAATATCTGTTACCTATTTTTATGTCCCATTTTGCCTTGCATTTTGTGACAAGACAGCATCATATACTTAGTAACCGTTAATCTAATTTGCAATACCATGCTTTTCACTTCAAGAGTAATGAGGTTTTATTGCAGATCCTTTGGAATGCCTTTAAGAGGAGTGTTATTACTTTGGGAGTGAATATCTATATACTTCATGTGTTTGTGTTCATGTTTATGATACTGGTTATATGTTCTAGATGAACGTGTTGGTAATTTGACAATGGTTGTGAAGGATGTTGGTGATCTATTAGCAGTCAAGTCTCAGCTCACTCTAATTGTAAGAGGAATGTATTCAAATCCCCCAAATCATGGCGGAAGAATTGTGGCCACTGTTCTGAATAACCCTCAGTTGTTAGAAGAATGGTAGGTAGATAAATTATAATAATAATCATTATCATCTTCATCATCATCATCACAAAAGGCTACTATTTAATCCCATCCAGAGCAGTTTCATTTCATGAAGATCTCCATACAAATTGTGGTCAAATGGTTAGCACACTTTCATGCAACAAGTTCTGGATTCAGACCTTGAATAATTGCAAGTTTCTTGAGAGACCCTGTATCATGGACTTTATTACTTTTTAAACCTTGAAGTTCGCCTAAATAATATTTACAAATTCAGTTCGTACCTCACAGAAATCACACCACCTCTCCATTTCAGAGACCAACCAATAAATACCATTTGGGGAATTGATCATTCTTCGTTGTGAGAATCGTACAAAGACGTTAAAAAGGTAAAGCTGTCCTTGTAACAGGCCGTGAAGGCTCATAGGGATGTGAGAGGTTGAGGCTTCCAAATCTCCTAAACAGTCGGCTCATAGATGGTGGTGAGGTTGTCAGTCTTATGTGCCGGCCGCCCTTTACCCCCAAGGAAAATTCCTGGTACTCATTTCTGTTAGAGGCTGAGTCGACCTCAGAGCCATAGTGTGGCTGGAAGGATTAGGTCAGTTGAAAAGTCCAATGACATCAGGATTTGATATCGCGGCCTTCCAGCTTGTAGCATAGCGCCTCAACTAACTGTACTACTGCATGCCTATACAAAGATCTTAAGCAGGTAAAATGTACCATTATTAACGATGAAGTTGATGGTGCATGTGGTAACCACTGTGCTTTAAAAGGTTATTGGATTTGTGAAAGGCGATATTCCTTAAAATAAAGTATTTTGTTGACTTACTGTTGTTATATCATCATTGGCAAGGAACTGCATACTGTTTAGAGGTTAGAAGTATATTATGCACTGATTATCAGTACATTGATTCTTGAAATTAATATTGCAGGAAAGAGTGTGTTCGCACTATGGCGAACCGAGTTCTTGACATGAGACGAGGTCTAAAGGAACGTCTGGAACGCTTGGGTACCCCTGGTACATGGGATCACATTGTAACTCAAATAGGAATGTTCTCTTATACTGGACTTTCACGTACGTATGAACGACAAATTTTGAAAGTACATCTGATGGTTATGAGTATTTTCTAAAATACTTTTACTGCAGTATTATACTGCCACCTTGCAGATTCAGAGGTTGGTTTGTAAATAATTTTTATAATTGGTTTGTGATGAATTTTAGGAGAAGATTTGAAACTTTGACGATTTTGTACTGGGATGAGTCATGTTAGACCCTGAAAATGGAGGTAGCATTTTCCTGCAGAACATCAGTAGCCATTTACCAAACTGTGGTGTCATTTCCCAGATGAATAATCGTAATATTAACATGAAAACTTTAAATCTCAAATAAGTTTTTTAGCTGTAGTTGATAAAAATAAGTAAATACAGTGGAACCTCGCTTAACGAGCACCTCTTATAATGAGTAATTCGTACAATGAGCAAAAAAATTGTAAAAAAATGACTCGCTTAACGAGGGACATTTTGCATAACGAGTGACGAGAGGGGAAGTCCCAGATTGTGCGCTTGTTACATCAGTCTGTGTTTAGCACTCGTTCCGCTAGCATCTTAGTGTCGCTTGTGATCACACATTTTTCCAAACTTTTGTTCAGACATATTATTTGTAATTTTTTTTTGTGCAAAGTTTAATAACCCTTGCAAAAATATCCCCAAAGAAAAAGCCACAAAAAGACAGCCATAAGAGAATAAAAATAACCATAGAAATGAAACATAAAGTCATTGAAAAGCGAGAATGAGGTGTGAGCATGGCTGATCTAGCACGCACATACAATCGGTCTACATCAACGATTTGCACTATCCTCAAGAACAAGGACAAGATTAAGGAGATAGATGCTTCAAAGGGAGTGGCAAGAATATCTACGCAATGGTTATGTGTTCTTGACGATGTTGAAAAGTTGCTCCTCGTATGGATAAACAAAAAGCAATTGCAAGGTGACACTATTAATGAGAACATCATTTGTGAGAAGACAAAAGTGATTTTTGCCGACCTTGTTAAGAAGACGCCAGGATCAACGGCCGTAGAAGAAGCATTTAATGGAAGCCGTGGGTGGTTCGAGAAGTTTAAGAGAAGAACCAGCATCCACAGCGTTGTAAGGCATGGTGAAGCAGCAAGCTCCGACACAAAAGCAGCAGAGAACTTCATTGGCAACTTCAAGAAGCTCGTAGATTCTGAGGGTTACCTGCCACAACAGGTTTTTAATTGTGACAAGACGCGTCTCTTCTGGAAAAAGATGCCAAAGCGAACCTGTATAACAGCAGAGGATAATGCATTGCCTGGGCATAAGCCAATGAAAGACCGTCTCACGCTGCTATTTTGTGCCAATGCAAGCGGCGATTTGAAAATTAAACCACTGCTTGTTTACCATTCAGAAACTCCAGAAGAGTAGGCTAAATGTGATGTCAAGGGCCAACAACAAGGCTTGGGTGACACATGACCTTTTTACTGATTGGATCAATGAAGTGTTTGGTCCTTCTATGAAAAAATATTTGCATGAGATGAATCTGCCACTCCATGTCTTGCTTGTTATGGACAACGCACCTGCCCATCCTCCAGACCTACAAGATGACCTCCTTGACGAAATTAAATTCATCAAGATCCAGTTTCTACCTTCCAACACCACTCCGTTGCTCCAGCCTATGGACAAGCAGGTTATTTCTAACTTTAAGAAGCTGTACAATAAAGCACTCTTCGAGCGTTGTTTTGAGGTGACCGAAGGGACCAATCTCACCCTCAGAGAGTTTTGGAAATATCAATTCCACATCATTGCCTGCCTCAAGATGATCAAAAAGGCGTGGGAAGGGGTTACCAAGAGAACCCTCACTTCTGCTTGGAAGAAGCTTTGACCGGAGAGCATTGTCAAATGTGACTTTGAGGGGTTTGAGATAGTACCTGTGGAGCCTGTAGTCAACGAGACTGTGGCTTTGGCCAAGATCATGGGGCTGGAGGTGGATAACAGTGATATCGATGAGCTTGTGGAATAGCACGGCCAAGAGATGACCACCAAAGAGCTTANAAAGATGAAGATGATTCACGCTCCTTAACAAAGTATATATAATTTTCTTTGAATAAATGTTATACATAAAATTTGTTGAGTATTTTTTTCAGCGTGGAACGCATTATCGTATTTTACATTAATTTATATAGGAAAAATTGTTTCACTTAACGAGTGTTTCGCATTACGAGTAAGATTCTGGAACGAATTATGCTTGTTAAGCGAGGTTCCACTGTAGTTGAGAGTTTTGGTTAAAATCTAAGAATATATTTATGTAAAAGTTCTTATTTATCTCTTATTTCTTCTATATCAAATGTTTCCTCAATTCTGTCTGCATACTGTTGAATTCCAGTTCATTTTACCTTTATTATTTTTTTGCTTCATTAATTGTCCAACTTTGTCTGGATACATGATTAAGGTTTTGAAATCTCACAGAAATACTTTTCAGAGGCAAATGACCAAAGTGGCTAAATTTAGTAGGCATTAAAAGACATGTGTAACAGAATTATACTGAGGGTAAATGCATTTTATTCACTCTTTCTCTGTTATAGCTCGACAAGTGGAACATTTGACACAGAAATACCACATCTACCTGCTGAAGAGTGGTCGTATCAATATGTGTGGTCTGACCACCAAAAACATCGATTACGTAGCCAAAGCTATTCATGAAACTGTTGTTGAGATCTCTGAAAATACCATCAACAAACTATAAGCTTGGAAAATACTGTAAAGCCATGTTACCTCAATCTTGTACATGCTGTGACAGAAAATTATCAGGTTGACTAGACAGATTTATTGTAACACAGCGCTGTGTGCTCACAATAGCCGCATTTAGAACGTACTAACATGTACAAGTATTCTTTTTCTTGGGTTTTTGCTTGTGTAATTTCATCTTTCAGGGTTTAACTATGTCATATGTTAAATTTAAGCCAATGTTTTGTTATATATTGCAGTCCCCATTTTCAGAGAGAATATGGCCTAGTAATAGGTCTCAGAAGTGAGGGTATGTGTGGGAAACATCTGCTATCCAATACGAAGGTGCCAAGGCCATATCTAAAGATCTTGCACTGGGACTGGTGGTGGACATGTGGAACTTGGAAAGAGTGTGGTTCTAGCAAATGTCCACACTCACTATCATTATGCTGTCATTTAAATAGTGAATTACTCCCTGACAACTTCAGCTGTCAGGCCAAATGTAAACTGAGTAAGTTCTGGTTTCATCTCTTTCCTTCCATATTTTCTTCTAAACCATAGGGTCCCCTGCCACTGGATAGTGTTATGCTTACTTCCATTGTGAGACTTAAATGTCAGGCCACATTTCTCTTCCACCTTTTACAGCACTTGTCAGAAGGTGGTTACCTTAATAACCGCATTGCAGCATGTCACAGTGGCACTACAGACAAAAAAGACAGAGGATGATCTTTCAACCATTATAATGAAAACCATCTGCAGTATTGCAGTGACGTAGTAAGGGCCTGCCCATAATGTACATGCAGCACCCCTCACACTGCACTTCACATCAGACCCGTCATTCCCTCAGAGAGAAGACAACGTGTATGAAGAACACATGTGTCTTCGTGTACATCACAGTCTGGTCAAGAACGCAGGTAGGGTTCAGTACCGTGATTGTGTGAGTCATTCGAGGGAGCCGACCATAATGCAGACATGGATATTCCACCTCATTCGCTCTGAACATGTGACTGCAGTATATGCCAGAATGTTGTGGCAACTTCCACTTACAGTGCAGCTGTACCCCAAAAGCTGAAATTATGCTTACAGATATGTATGAGATTTTGAATCTGTGTGTACATAGAAGATAAATGTCATGTGTTATTGATTGTGATGGGTTCAGGAAGGGAATTCTCTAAAAGGTTTGTGACAGTAGTTGGTTCATTATGCCATATTTACATTGAACATTGTCCATTGTTCATAGTTTTCATATTCAATGTTGAACATAACAGTGTAGTAAAAAGCTGTCAGTATAATGACAGAACTTGTGCCAAATGAGTCTGTTGCAGTGCAGAATGCAGAAATTCAACAGGCCACACTGCTTAATGTCTTCCACTCTTTCATTAACATAGTTACTGCCTAGTCAGTCTGCTCTGTAATGCTTTTAACACTGCCTAGGAGTCCTTACGCCACGCTGATGTGGCACCACTGGTCTGATGGAATTCACTATACACAGTGTACTGTTGCCAGCTTGAGAGAAACTCTGAGGAACTTGGATTCTGCATGTGATACATTTCATTGATGCTACCAGTTTCAGTACTAAGACAGACAAACTGTGGCAGATGTTTTGCCTGTGTCATTGCCTGTTTCACGTCCCTGCCTCTGCTCTGCATCTTTGCAATGCAACTCTCTTCTGTAGATTACAAAAGAATTACCTGATTCAGCTTTTACATATATAGACAGGAGCAGAGGCAACTCCCCAAATGTAACATATTGTCACGACTAATTCTGGCACCAAAATGTCACGTGTCCAGGGTTCCATGACAAATAATAACGGCTTCTGGATTGGATGATGGGATTTATTGGCACTTCTATTGCAGTTACTTCCAGCTCACCATCAGTGGTTGCATAGACTTGCTCCATTCCTTACTGGACTCAGTGTGTCTTCTCGTCTACTGTTATTATTATTATTATTATTATTATTATTATTTATTAGTCCACCATATATCCATAAGGATTACAATTCCAGCGGGTGTAGTTACCGTCACCAAGTATATGCAAACAGCTGTGCAATAGTGCACTCGTCAACAACATACATAACAAATTGTATAACATGCAAATAATACAAATAAAAAAATATACTGACCATCCAGAAAAGTTATAAAAGAAACAAATACAGTTCAGTATTTATGCTTAGAATGAAAAATACAGTGATATTAATACACTCTGCAAAGATANTAGTTGGTTCATTATGCCATATTTACATTGAACATTGTCCATTGTTCATAGTTTTCATATTCAATGTTGAACATAACAGTGTAGTAAAAAGCTGTCAGTATAATGACAGAACTTGTGCCAAATGAGTCTGTTGCAGTGCAGAATGCAGAAATTCAACAGGCCACACTGCTTAATGTCTTCCACTCTTTCATTAACATAGTTACTGCCTAGTCAGTCTGCTCTGTAATGCTTTTAACACTGCCTAGGAGTCCTTACGCCACGCTGATGTGGCACCACTGGTCTGATGGAATTCACTATACACAGTGTACTGTTGCCAGCTTGAGAGAAACTCTGAGGAACTTGGATTCTGCATGTGATACATTTCATTGATGCTACCAGTTTCAGTACTAAGACAGACAAACTGTGGCAGATGTTTTGCCTGTGTCATTGCCTGTTTCACGTCCCTGCCTCTGCTCTGCATCTTTGCAATGCAACTCTCTTCTGTAGATTACAAAAGAATTACCTGATTCAGCTTTTACATATATAGACAGGAGCAGAGGCAACTCCCCAAATGTAACATATTGTCACGACTAATTCTGGCACCAAAATGTCACGTGTCCAGGGTTCCATGACAAATAATAACGGCTTCTGGATTGGATGATGGGATTTATTGGCACTTCTATTGCAGTTACTTCCAGCTCACCATCAGTGGTTGCATAGACTTGCTCCATTCCTTACTGGACTCAGTGTGTCTTCTCGTCTACTGTTATTATTATTATTATTATTATTATTATTATTTATTAGTCCACCATATATCCATAAGGATTACAATTCCAGCGGGTGTAGTTACCGTCACCAAGTATATGCAAACAGCTGTGCAATAGTGCACTCGTCAACAACATACATAACAAATTGTATAACATGCAAATAATACAAATAAAAAAATATACTGACCATCCAGAAAAGTTATAAAAGAAACAAATACAGTTCAGTATTTATGCTTAGAATGAAAAATACAGTGATATCAATACACTCTGCAAAGATACATGATCAACCGTGCAATAGGGCACTTGTCCAAATGTATTAAAAAAAAAAAGAGATATACAGATTGTTTTTATGCTAGAAGCAAATTACAACAATATACTCCATGGGGCACTTGTCCAACAGAGACAGGTACAGGTAAACATACCAAAAAGTTAAAAGAGCTAAAACTGATATGTAAACTTCAACATCTATGTTTCGAGAGTTTGATAATTAAAATACTCTTTCAGTGAGTAGTAAGAACCAGCATACAAGAATCTCTTTAAGGTTGCCTCAAAAGATTTTTGATCATTAGATAATTCTTTTAGTTTAGCAGGCAAGCGATTAAAGATCTTTATGCCTGAGTAATAAGCTCCCCTTTGAACTTTAGTCATAGAAACACTTGGGGGAAATAAATTGTTGTTTTGTCTAGTACCGATACTATGAATTTAAGAATTTCTTAAGAACGTGTGTCTATTATTTACAATGTATTGCATCAGGGGATACATGTATTGAGAACACAAAGGTAAAATTTTCATTTCCCTGAATGAATCCCTGCACAAATCTCTCTTCTTCAAGCCCTTCATTATTCTTATTACCCTTTTTTGTATCCCAAAAATTTTTATACTATATGGAGAATTACCCCAAGTCATGATGGAGTGTACGTAAGCAAAGTAAAGCATCCTCAGACTGCTGTAGGACAAGATGGTACAGTCTTCAAAGCCACATGAAAATGTTAAGTGTCCTTTGCACGTTGTTTCACTGCTCTACCCTTAAATTAATATTCTGGAATAAAGTTTTTCAGGGATTTCAAAGTGAAGTACACAGTTTAAAAATTTGTCCTTTACAATTCTGCACACATCACTGTCCTTATTTTCACTTGCTGCTGAGATAAATATACTGTTGCAAATGTGATCACCATTGTGTCCAGAGAAATTCCCACTTTTTGCTACTCACAAATTTGATCAATCTAGACTGTTGTCCGCACAGCGAACATGGGGTTTCATGTGGATAGTGTAGGTCGAAACAAAATAGCAGAATGGTTTATTCTGCTTTAAGATTCTTGGACTTAATCCACTTGTTAACGTAATAATAAATATTTATGAATGATCAAACTGTGGCAGACGTTTTGCCTGTGTCATTCCCTGTTTCTGGTAGCCTGTTTCACGTCCCTGCCTCTGCTCTGCATCTTTGCAATGCAACTCTCTTCTGTAGATTACAAAAGAATTACCTGATTCAGCTTTTACATATAAACAGGAGCAGAGGCAACTCCCCAAATGTAACATATTGTCACGACTAATTCTGACACCACAATGTCACGTGTCCAGGGTTCCATGACAAATAATAACGGCTTCTGGATTGGATGATGGGATTTATTGGCACTTCTATTGCAATTACTTCCAACTCACCATCAGTGGTTGCATAGACTTGCTCCATTCCTTACTGGACTCGGTGTGTCTTCTCTTCTACTGTGACGAATGATCAACGAAGAATCAGCCCTCACTCTCTTAAATGAACTGAAATAACTCTTTTATAACTTCGAGGTGACCAAGATATAGATCACAACCTCAAACAGTTCGTGTTATTCTGCTTTTCCGTTACCATGAAACATGGTTACCAAACCGTTGCACAGTAATGGATTATTCCATGTGTGTTTGTTGCAGCAGGAACATGTGTTTGGCAATCTGTTGGCTAACAGTACACTTCCACTCTTGCTCCACTATTCTGGTTTTCAGGCATCATGTCACAGTATATTTCATATGCCTTAGACAGTGGATAATGTCCAACATAATTGTTGTATAATGCCATCAATTCACATTTATATATAATTGTGAATATGAATGTGACAAGGGCTCCAGAAATGCAGTCTAAATCTACTATATATCCACATATCACATTACAATTTTCTTCATGCAAATACTGTATTTTGGTATAATATATAAAAGCTCAACCTTGCATATTAAATGTTAAAATGAGGACACATGAGTAAGACTTTGTTTTAATTTGCCTTCTGCATCTTATTTATGATAATAAGATATTACTCTTGCATTTGCATGGACTAAACTGCAGTTTAGTCTCACAAGGGCTCCTGACACCCTCCAGTGTGTGCTGTGGATGCATGAATCACTTAAATGCTGATTTGTCTGGAGTAAAATCGTGCAAATGTCTGTTGTGAAGCTCGTAAGTAAATAATTTAGAGACTGTGGACTTATTCATGACTTAAGTGTACCTTCCAGTGATTAACCTTTACTTATCATGCATTACATTATTATAATACGTGCTTATGATTCTTTTACGTTTCTTCAGTAGTGATGTGATACTATTATCCCAAAGTTAAAATCCATCCACTAGCCCCGTGGCTCCAGAAGATTTAAAAGATCCTATTTTTCATTAATAAATTTAATTTTTGCTAAAGTTGGTGCATTTACTGAAGATGAGAGCATTTTGAGTTTTCTGAAAGGAACTGAACTTTATGAAATCATGTGTTTGTATGAAATTAGACCAAGCTTCTGTTTTATTAAAATATGCAAGTTTTCTCCAGCAATAAGACTTTTGACAAGTATTCAAGAGATGCCTAGTTCAGATCTTTGTCAGGGCACTTCACTATACTTACTGATTATTTTATGGTTTTCCTCAGTCCTTGCAGGTAAATGCTGGAGTAACACTTTGAAATAGACCTGACTGCCATTTCCTCAAATCTTGAATTTCATCAGATATGATAGTACTCATATCATTCAGCACACAATAGTCTCCACGGTTATGACAGCATTATTAAATAACCAGCAATTCATCCATCTGAGTAGACCAAGGCTAAAATTGTGCTTGCTGCCACCTCTATAAACATGGCAGTGGTGAGGGGAGTCATGCTTGTGATAGCATGGTGTTTCATGAATGAGATTCCTAGAGAGTTAATATAGAAGCCTTTGGAGAATGGCTGAAGGTTCAGGAACTGGTCGCAGAATAGATATGACTGTGTGCTTTATATATGTTTGGATGCATTTAGAATAGCTTGTGCACTGCGGAAGCAGTATGTCTGTCATTTGATTTACACTGTGCTTTTGGTATAGCAACAGTATTGCTCATTTTGAAAGTTTGAAAGTTCTTTCCATATATTGAGATGTCAGTAGTGTCCGTGTGATGTTATAAAGGCGACAGATTTACTGTGGAATTACATGAGTATAAACACCATACTGTTTTCTGTTGGTACACTGCAATCACATTGTGTTTTATGTTTTGCTTTAACTCTATGTACATGGACTTATATGGTTTAGAGTATCTATTGCAAAAATAGTATGCATATTTGGGGATCTCTGTTATATCATATTAAGAATATTGAAATAGAATGAAGATACTCGTATTTATAACATTTGATATTGAAATCATTTTTAAAAGTAAGTGACTATTGATATTGGTTTAATTTCTGAGATATGTATTATTGACTTGGAAGGGGCATGATTTTAAAGCATTTTGGACTGAGAGGGGGTATGAGTTACAATGGTTTTGCTGAAGAATATTCAATTTATGGTACTCAAGTGACATAAATCTGTGATAAACCTGTACAAGGCTCGTATCTGTAAATACATATTTTTTGTTAAAACATTGAATTTACCTGTAACAAACAAACGAACTACTGTTAACCAAATGAATTTCTTACATTTCTTGATTGTCTTGTTATACATTGTACAAAATGTATTTGGGTATTATATACATTCAGGATTATTTATTTGGCTTGATCAGAGTTATGTTCCAGTGATATTTTCAACACATTTTTATAATGTGTGACTAACCCCTTCGTTTCATAAGTCAGGAGAGAAGGCGTAACATTGTCCATTGTCCATGTGCACAGTTTACCACTGTGCTGCAGTGTTTGGTTCTTTATCATTTCTTTTACCATATATTATATTGTGCTTGTTAGTATACTGTGGTTGTTGAAAATAAATATCATTCAAGACAATTCTGGTTATGCATTTCTTTTTGTATCCTTTCTTTAGCAAGAAATTAAACGTTAAAGCATGATAAACCCCCTGTTTTGGGACTGTGTGCTCATTTCAGTGTTGAACATATTATACATATTTGTATTTTCCTATATTCATTCATGTTTATTCATCCTATAAATGAGATTACACTGATGTAGGGCATGTCACATGATATAAATTATAAAATTAGTAAAAATACAATAAATTCTTAACCAGTAAACTAACAAAATATGTAATGATTGTTTACACCTAGCATATATCATTATTCAGTATTTAAGAATTTATCATTCATATAGTCTTCAACTGAGTAGTAATTTATCATTCATATAGTCTTCAACTGAGTAGTAACACCCATTAATGAGTAAATTCTTCAGTTCCCTTATGAACTGGTTTTTATTTTCACGTTGCTTTATATTATTAGGTAATTTATTATAAAAGATACAACCAGCAACCGAAGGTTTACTATTATAAAGTTCTAAGTTATGCACCCATTTATGGTAGTCATTGTTGTATCTTGTATTGTGTGTGTGTGTGTGTACTTGTTTATTTACCATGCAGTTACACTTATTAGTTACATATAAGATGGTTTCTGGTATGTACAACGAATATACTGTTAAAATCTTAAGTTGTTTAAAACTATCTCTGCACGATTCCAAAGGTTTTAGCCCTGCAGTGTACTGTACTGCTCTTTTTTTAAGAATAAAAATTCTTTACTAATTGCCTTAGCACTGTGTCCCCATACTACAATTCCATATGTTAGAAAGGGATAGATCAAACCATAATATAACATTCGTCTACCCTTTAGGTTGAGTATTTTAGCAGGTCTATTTATTATAAGTAAGTTGCGGCTAATTCAACTGCAGGTTCTATCAGTATAAACATCCCAGTTCAAGGTGCTGTCAATTACTACCCCAAAAAAGTTTATACATTTAACATTCTCTATTTCCATATTCTTGATTAAAATTTTATATTTATGGTCCTGCCTACACTGCTTTGTCTGAAAAAAGATGCAGTGCATTTTGGTTGGGTTTATGAACAAATCATTTAGATTAAATTCACATTAGAATGTGTTCAGCTTCCAGTAATATTTTCCTGCATCCTTAGTAATTCTGTTGTAACCATTCTGCTAAGTCAGTGGCTTAACCAATGTGCCATGACATTTTTAATTTAAATATTCTTACTATGGTCTTATTGGGTTATGATGTAGTCTGATACATGGGTACCAAAATTTTAGAGGAATGTTTCATCTCTCTTTACTATATTCCTTTGAAACATTTATACCAAGACCACAATATGAGTCTTTCATTGACCTGTTCTGTTTTTATTCTTTAAATTGTTGCTGCCACTGTATGTTTCATGTTTCTTTATATTTGTTACAGAGTAGCCATATTTAATCTTAATATCTTATCATGTCTTTCACTTGCTTTTTTTACTTAATAGTTTACCTATACAGAGAAAACTGAGGAAAAGTTTTTGGGTGATGTGTGCATATTTTAGAGCTTTTGTCAGCAAAATAATCTTAAACAGTTGTTCATGGTTAGTTACCTACATTGAACATTTAAGTAGTTGGATTCACATGTGTCACTTTTGTAACCTTCAGAAAACAGTCTTAAGGCAGGATATGACCAAGTACCTAAAGCACTTGCCTCACATCGTAGTTGTTTAGGTTCAGTTCCCAGCTGTGTATGCATGACCTGTGCTGGTTGAAGCATTTTTTTCTTTGAGGACTTGTTTTCCTTTGGCATCAGACGATACTGAAGTTACTTCATATCCTCTGTATCATTGCAGCATTGATCCCTATCTGTTCAGATATTACCTTCATTCTTTACTGTGTTATATCATCACGGAACAGCTCATATGCCAAAAAGGAAGTGAAGTGCTCCAAAATCATACATAGTGACTTTGACCAATGGAATTGTATTATGACTGACGGTCAGTTAACCAGCCTATCTTGGTGTCAAGCCCCATCTTGGGCACAAGACCAGATTTTTGTTACTGTTAGTTGTGGGGTGCCCTGTCTGACAAGAGGACAGATCTATCATTTACAATTGCTGCTAGCCCTCATCAACACAGTCATTCTTGCATCCGTGTCCCACTGCACTAATGACTATATTTTACTGTCTCAAATTGGAGACTACCCCAACCTGGAGAGCCTGGTCCCTGTATTTATATCCCCCAAGGGATGGGGTGGCTCACTTATACCCCCAAGCACTGAGTTCCCTTTTTGTGGCCTCCTACAACTCGCAGGGCTATGGTGGAGGTATTTGTACTCGGCTTCACATGGGGGGTCTTCCAGTGACTAGACCGGCTCAAAGTGAGAATCGAAGTTACTTCATAACTGGCAGTTTATCACAAATCAATTCTTCTCTGCTCCAAGCCCCTTGAAGACCATGACCAGAGAATTTTTTTCAACTGAACCCTTGCAGTCATAGTCCTTATGTAACATGCTGTCTCATGAGAAGATGGAGTTGCCTCTTATGAATATGTTTGGTATTTCGTCAAATGTATGTATCACACATATAGCATGTTACTGAAAATTACTGATTTTGCACTATATACCAAGTCCTCTTGTCAGTCAAGGCTTTGCAAAGCAGATCATGCCTAACTTATATATCTTACGCTACAACAGGAGCTTAATCACTTGAACGGTCATAAGCTGACCACCAAGTTTAATCCTCATATACATGTATTTCCTATGACTGACTTAACCTTGTCTTATACTGTGAACATGTTAATTTTCATGATTTTGTATGACCTTTGCTTGTTTCCTACACAATTTGTTGTTATAATCGTATACATACGGAAGGTTGGAAGCCGTGTGCAAATCGGGATGGACCCAACAGAAAACACCTTTTCTTGCAGCTGCTATGTTACAGTATGACATGGAAGTTTCCGAAACGTTGTGTTTTCTAGTTTCTAGAATATCGGATGATGGACACAGTCCAAAAACCAGTAATTTTGAGTATTATACACAATTGTCAGAACCATTTAGAATTTATATTTTTGTGATTTTAGAGAAGCATATGTTTCAATAAAATGTGTGGACTCTTTTTCTGTTTTGTGGCACCCCATGGCCCCAGTTGTTCATTTGGACCTACGAGAGAACACGCCAGTATCGAAGAGTTCATCTTCTGGGATATAATGAACTTCTTTTTATTCTTCTATTGCTGTTGCTCCCACTTAGAGCGTAGGGCATCCGTAAAACCCCTCGATTCACTTCAGTTTCTTAATCTAATATAGCCGGTAGGACTCCTAGGGCGGGGGATCAGCTCGACGCAAGACCGCTACCTACACAGGGCAACACGAAACAAAAAATAAACGCAGGCAGACATCCATGCCTATAGTGGTGTACGAACCCACGATCCCAGTGTTCTAGCGCAGAAGACATTTCATAGATTGCACGACCACTGTGGTCGGCTATAACGGACTACACAGTCTGATATCCATGAAGATAGAACTCTTCATAACCACCGGTGTAAGAACCTCAAACCCTACACACCACAATTGTTACGCAAAGCGCTGCTAACTTGTTATGCTTGTTACAGTGTAACGGAATATCGCGACCGATCGCGACAGTTGGCATGAAATGGTCATAACGCGCAGTAAGGCATGCTACAGTCACTTAAAATTCCGTCCATTCACATTTAACCTTGGCCTTAGTGAGCAAGACTATCATCCTAAGAATAAAGTTCTGTGATGTGAAGTAGTCGTTATCTGTCAGGCCATTCATGAACATGGCGTCACCAGATTTCAGTGCAGTGAATTCCGAGGAACTTACTGAAATAATAGACGTGTGTACGCGATGCTTCGCGGATAAAAGCGAGAAGAGGATTGATTTAATTCCTGGAGGTAAGCAATCCAGTAGAATGCGGAATGCTTCATCCGCTCTCTCGCATTGTTTTGTCTACTTTATTATATTCTACTTTGAAATATTACAGCTTTATGCCATTATAGATGCAACCTTGTAATTTATCAATATAAATTTTTAAAATGCTCAGACTTAAAATGAAAGAACAGACATTAAAGATAGTATTATTGTATTAGAATCCGAAGGTTTAACACATCTAACATCAAAGCTGCTACTGGATATATTTCCGAACTACCAAAATTATGTGTGCATGTCGTGTCACACGAAATTCCTATGAATCCTTTCAATTCCGATGCATTGTTATTAGTTCTAATAATTTATAAAAATTATTCGCTGCAAGGGGTTGTTAATTGGACTTCAAACATCCCCCTGTCGGCTGTCCTCGACTGCTTATTCACTATATTCGCAGTTACTTTCCATATCTGAAAGCCTTTTCCTTCACTTGCATTCACAAGACGAGATATTCCGTGGTAAATTAGCAAAAATGCAGAATATACGTAAACAATTTCCGATAGCTTGTTTTTAGTTTGTTATATCTTTTACGACGCGCAGTCGGTATATCGACTGGCTACTGGCTGGACGACCGAGTAGTCGGAGTTCGAGTCCCGGTAGAGTCAAGAATTTTCACTTTTCCATGTCCTCCAGACCGGCTCTAGAGTCCACCCAGCATCTTATTCAGTGGGTACAGGGGGCTCTTTCCCTGGAGGTAAAGCGGTCAGAGAGAAAGATAGAAAATGAAACAGCCACACACGTCCTGTGTGAATGTGAGGCTTTAGCTTCTTTAAGACTACGTCACTTGGGTCAGTACTTTAGGGAACAAAGTGACTATTTCGACACCCCCACGTCCAAAATCCTGCGCTTCATCCGAAGCGTGGGGTTGCTGAGGGAATAATTAAAAAGGGGAAGCACAATGGACCACTGAGATCTAAGTGCAAGGGCCGAGTAGGCCTACCCCTTCATTCATACATACATACATACATACATACAAAGCGGTCATGGCGCGTAGCCTACGAGGTCAAGAAAATGTGGCTCTATACGTCCACTTCCCCATACGCCTTCATGGCGTAGTGCTTAATTCGTTGAGCACAAGTACAACTTTACCTTTTAGAAGAAACTGATACGTGAAATATTACGCAGGTGCAAACCTAAATGCGTGGATAGGCGACGAGAAATTCCGTCACCCATCAACTAAAAACAGATTAACTTTTTCAAAACTTTGTCACGGTAACATAAATTTCCATAAACTGCGACGAACACCGTCCTTGATGTTGAAAATATTATATAACATGTCAGATTACTGACTTTATCGACCATGATACGAAACCAGAGGTCAAGATAAAATTATTTACATTTAGCAAAAAGCAGAGCAAGAAGAAAAGGGTTTATAAAATTTCGCTGGCCCTTGGTTCGCCCATGCTGTTACCCCAGGCCCGGTGAAATAAATTCCCGATCTTGTTAAGAATTTTTATTTCAAACACTTTTCTATAATGTCAAGATATTATTGCGTTTGTAACAACAGGATTGTATCCCCGATATATGAACTTAAATACGAATCAGCAGGGACCGACTTCATGGGGGGTGGGGGGCGACCGACTGATGCAGTCACCCCAAGGCCACCACAAAACAGAAATAGAAACCACGAATTTTAATGGTACATTTGCTTCTCTAAAATTACGATATTAATTTGTATTGTTTGTTATTATACAAAATAAGATCAACAACAAAAATAGTTCTCATAACCTAAATTTGATCTTACTGACAGAGGCCTCCACATTTTCAATGCTGCATGGCCCTCACAGCTCTAAGTCCGGCCCAGCAAATTGAGTTAGGCAGAATTGAGAATAATGCATTTGAAAAAAAGAAAGAAAAAGTGTTATTGAGTACATCCTTCTGTACCTGTCTCAAGACAATCGTGCCAAATTCACCACTCCTGAAGCTTTCATCCGAATAATTAATAGATTATTAAACGTTTCGTCCGGTCTAGAAAACGGAGAATACCGGGCGTGTGGATTCGTTGCGCTGACCACGCGACACCCTCTATCCGCTAAAGTTGGCACTAACTTCGCCGACAAGTGGCAGTTGCTCGATCGGTATAGTTCGCTTGTGGACTATAGGCCATGGAGGAATTAAACGTTTCGTATAGCCAAAAATATAGGCCTACCCAACATTTGGCTAATTATAATTGGGCACTCAAACGCTGTTCCTTCTCATGATGAGAAATGCTGAGAGGTTACTTTAAAGTAAGACACGACCTACTTCATTATCAGCGTAACCATTCTCACATTTTTTCAATTAATGCTACCTGATCTGGGCAGATGTCTCATTGTCGTTAGGTGAACCATGAACAAGCACAATAAATATCATGCGAAGGATGTTATATGTTAGCGTCCTGTTACACTGATTCATGTCCATGGTTTATGCTAACCGTCTTACAGTGTATACAACGTGTACGCAAAACACAACACAGAACACGATACACAAATATATGTAGGAAGAATGCTCACATAAAAGAGGATTGGCGTAATTCGCGTATTTGAGTGCGACGTAGGATGAATCCTGAAAAGTTTTATTATTTAGAATTCATCGACATATATGACGAATACAGATTTTAGTCATTTTAGAATGAAGACATCATGGCATACAGTACAATAGTTTAACGTGCATAAAGACACCTGAGGATGGCACATTAGCGCTGAAACATGTAGTGTGGAAGTGAAGAATAAGGTGAAAAAGTGTATACACTGTAAGACGGTTAGCATAAACCATGGACATGCGAAGGATGTCACGTGCTAAATCCGTTTGCAAGTAATGAGGCCAAAGCTATGAGTTCGGTCTTTGCCTGATAAAACGTGGTTCTCTGATTGGCTGAAATTTTACACTGTTTAAACATGACACAATCGAGCAATGATCTTCAGTGATCTGGTTTATCTCCACAATATATCTTTCGTCTGGTGTTCTGAATGGTTGATGAAACTTGGCCTTTTACATTAAATCGCAGACTGAGGGTATCTGAGAAGAGAAGGCTAAGGGAAATATTTGATCCTACGAAGGAAGAAGCATCAGAGGTTGGAGAACATTTTAAAATGAGGAACTTTGTAATTTGTGCTCTTCACCAGACATAATTATGATAATGAAATGAAGTAGAACGCATGCAGCACGCATGGGAGAAAAGATAAATGCATACAATTATTGGTCTGAAACCTGATGGAAATAGACCGCTAGGAATATCTGCACGTATAAGGAGAAAGAAAGGTAAAGTTGTCCCTGTGTTTAACTAATTAAGAACTACGCCATGAACATATACAGAGGAATGGATTTACAGATCAACATTGTCTTGACCTCGACAATAGTTGGAGGTGAATGATCAGTTTCACGCCCCGGCCGTTTTACCCACAGAGAAAGAGCCCTGGTACCCATTAGATAGAAGGCTGGGTGAGCCCCAGAGCCGGTCTGGACGACGTGGAGAAAAGAAAAGTCTTCACCCTACTGGGATTCGAACTCCGACCTATCGGTCGTCGAGCCCGTAGTCAGTCGCTATATCGGATACGCTATGTAGAAAGGAGGATAATATTAAAAATAAGGTGGGAAGTTGCGGTTTGGATTAGGTTCGCTCAGATTGGAGACCAGTGATTTGTTCTTATGAACTTATGAAACTTCGGGCTTCGTAGAATTCGTGGAATTTCTTATGTAGTTGAGCAACTCTCAGATTCTCAAGAAGTCTCTGTTATATTTAATTAGTTAGTTGGCGTACAATACTAATTAATTAAATCTCGTTTATATGCAAGATTCCTGGTAGTTAGTTATACTGGCGCAGCCAAGAATTTTGTTTTGAAGAGGCATCAAGTTTTCCAATGGGGGCAGCCACAAAATATATTTAAAAACTTACGTTTAATGTGTTTCAGTATTATTCTTACTGATCGCTCTAGTCTAATGAGGATAAAAATATAATTTTTAGAAATATTTTTAAATTGAATTATTAATATTTAACCTATCCCGTCCTCTTGTTCAATTTTTATTTATTTTTCCAAAAAAAAAATCAGGAGGGGAGGCAGATGGCTGGCTTGTTCCCTGCACCCGACCTGGGCCCATTTATTACATTCTTTACTGCCAGCTTTTTGTATTTTTACTAGAGAAGGCGGGGGGGGTCTTTGGGTAGCGTAGTTGGTTGAGGCACTATACTAGAAGCTGGAAGGTCGGGCTAGAGCTAGAAGTCCCAATTTCGATTCCCGTTAGATGCAAGAGATTTATCTCTTCTCCGCAGCGTCCAGACCGGCTCTGGGGCCCGCCCAGCCTACTGCTGAGGTCACGAATGGTGGAGCTATACCTCCATGACTTCCTGGCGCGACTCTTTAATGAATTAAGCATAGGCACAACTTTACTTTTACCTTATCCTGCCTCGTTTGCCTTGCAGCTGATTTATTGCAGTCAGTTACAATGAGGATTATAGACCTTCAAAACCGGACAAATTTCCATCATATTTCTCCTTGAAAGAGACTGCTATCGCTCATTGTTCCTCCTTCCATAGTCTCGTATCTTTCTTTTCTTAAATATTCAAGGCTAATACAACTATTGTTCATAGCTTACAGAGATGAAAACGGAAAACCATGGGTACTACCATTCATACTTGATCTGGAAAAGAAACTGCTTAAATCGGACACATATAATCATGAATACGTGCTTTTCTTGGGGCTGGATTCTTTCAACGAACTGGTGCCTCGCCTTATCCTCGGGGAGAACAGTCCTGCCCTAAAGAGTGGAAGGGTAAGTATCATTCCGTAATATGGAGTATGAGATCGATTTTCCAGAAAATTTCGGACCAAAGTGTTTCCGGATATTGGGTCCCTTAGCCAAAACACATACTCGTAATAACACGTGTAAATTCAACATTTAAAAACTTTTGTTAATATTTGATGTAACGAAAAAGTAAATAAAATTGAATTATGAAAGCCATAATTGCCGCTTTTATCACCAGAACATTCTATAATTTTTCTAAACATGTCTTGTAAAGCTAATTGTTTCATGCATTAAAGATTCCTTTTTGTGAAACCTATCGTATTTTATTCGCCTACATAATATTGTCACGTGCCCTGGGTTCCGTGACTAATAATAACGGGTTCTGAATTGCATTATAGGATTTACTGGCGCCTTCTTGTAAAATTACAACCGATTATAACAGCTCACACTCAATAACCGTCTCAGACTCGCTCCACTGTGACGCTCTTTCACTTTGACTGACTTGGTTCTGATTTACGAATCGGTCACTTCTTCAGCTTCCGTTGTCCGCTGGTTAGCAGTCATCAGCTGAATACTCAACTACTCTTACGACTGAATCATTGAACTAACTGAACGAACTCTCCTGAACTGAATTGAACTCTGGAATCAGACAGGCGGTTAACCGCCAATCACTTCGTCTTGGCGACAAGCCCTTTGAGACTCACGACCAGTAATAATATTTTACAACTTAACACTTGCGGTTATATTCCTTATGTAACATCCCCTGTCGTTTACATTGCCGCTGGGCCTCGCCAGCGCAGTCATTCTCAGGTCCGAGTCCCACGGGACTCATGACTACATTTTTCTGTTCCATATTCGAGGCCAGATTCCCGTATTCATATCCCCCAGGAACAAGGTGGTTCAGCTATCCCCCCAGGCATTGGGTTCTCTTTTCGTTGCCTCCTACGACTCGCAGGTCTACGGTGTATTCGGACCCTCCTCCAGACGGGATACTCTCGAATGAATTACGTATCCTTCTTTCATAACTCGGGGCGAACTGAATAGAGAAAACCATCTCGAACAGTTCGTTCATTATTGCGTGCCTACTCGTCACACAAACTTGTTTTATTTTCGTAGCGAGCCGTTGTCTAGCAATAGACTCTTTAGGCTTTCAGGCTTAGTGTCACAATATGCTGCTCAGAAATGTTACTTAAAGAAGAAAGAAAAGAAATGAAATAGAAAAACATTCCACATTTCAGGTTTTTCCGGATTTTGTTTCTGAGTACGGGGCCCCATGCTGTAGGTTTATCTACATTTTCTAGCAACATATATTTTCATTACGTCAGTTTTCTTCCTTAACATATTTCCTTGTATTTGACGCTCGTCAGGTGCGAAAGAATAGAGCATAATTGTACATTATTCTCTGGAATAAACAGCCTTTTAAATATCGGGAAATATCGCTTAGTGAGCCCATCAAATCGAAACAAAATCATGCGCAGAATTCTGTCGTCTTGAATATAACACCGTGTAGGCCGTTGAAACTCAATAAACGTTTCGGAGGAACAATTCGTCTCCATCTTCAGGGTTAAAGAATAAGCTAAGCAGGAAACCAGCATGAATTTGCTTGTATATTCTAAAGGGTTCTGACGATGGTGGATGACACACAGAATTACTGGGTTTTTGGACTTTTTCCACCGTCCGGATTTCTAGATAATAGAGGACATTCTATGTAAAAGAGGACACGACGTCACCTGAAGACGGAAACAGATCCAGTTTCCGAAACGTCTTGTCCGCTATTACCTAGAATTACGGACGACGGAAAAAGTCCAGAAACCCAGTAATTCTGTATAAATTTGCATGCTGCCTGCTTCATTCTGTGCCCTGCTTGGTTTACTGTTCAACCCTGAAGATGGAGGCGACATGTTCCTATGAAAAGTTGGTTAACTTTCAAAGGACTACACTGCATTATACCAGGAGTCGAGATAGCATAGTCGGTATAGAGACTGGCTACGGGCTGAACCACCGAGAAGTCGGAGTTCGAGTCCCGGTATTGTCAAGAATTTTCACTTCTTCACGTCGTCCAGACTGGTTCTGGAGCCCACGCAGCCTCCCATCCAATGGGTACCGGTGGCTCTATCCCCGGGGGTGAACAGCAGGGGCGTGAAGCTGACCACTCACCTCCAGCTAGTGCCCAGGTTAAGAAAATGTGGATCTATACATCCACTTCACCGGTCACGGTAGCCGAGCGGTCTAAGGCATGAACTGTCTTCTCTCGCTCGGAAGCCGGGATCGTGGGTTCGGATCTGTTTCCTGTGAGGTACGAACTGAATTCTTATATATTATTCTTATACACTGCCGGTCACGGTAGCCGAGCGATCTAGGGCATGTACAATCTTCTCTCGCTCGGAAGCCGGGATCGTGGGTTCGAATGCCAGATAAGGGCATGGATATTTGGTGTGTGTCTGCGTTTATTCTGTGTTTGTGTTCTCCTATGTTTAGGTATAGACCTTGCGAAGAGCTGATCACCCGTCCAAGGAGTCCTACCATCTGTAAAATAATCATGAAGCTGAGAAATTAGCCCTGTGCTCCACAGTGGGAGCGAGAGGGGAGAGAGAGAGAGATACAACCACTCCTCCATAAGCCTTCATGGTGTAGTGCTTAATTAGTTAAGCACAGGGACAACTTTACCTTATATTCTTCCTCCCCCCCTTGGCACTACAGCCCTAGTGGGCCTAGGCCTACCTCCATGAACTCCGTTCACTTCGGTTTTTTCTAGATCTTACACATTCGGTAGGACTCCTTGGGCGAGTAATCAGCTCGTCGCAAGGCCTCTACTTGTAGACAAACACAGAAAAACGCACGCAAACATCCATGCCCTGAGTGGGATTCGAACCCACGATCCCGGCTTCCGAGCGAGCGAAGACAGTGCACGCCTTAGACCGCTCGGCTACCGTGACCGGTACTTATCTTTTACACAGTGTTATATCCGAGAAGATAGAACTCTTCATTACCACCTCTGAGAGGATCTGAAATCCTATAGAAACATTTAAACAGTTTTGAGGAAAATTATGAAACTGTTTCTCATAACTTTACGTAATATAATTTGGGCGGGAGAACTCGATATATTGCTCAGTACTAACCGAAGTATAGGCAACCTGTTCGTAGTCGGGAAGGCTCAGTCACTGTAGGGACTAGGCTATGGGCTGAACGTCCGGAAAATCGTGGTTCGATCCTAAGCAGAGACAAATTTTATTTCGTCTCTTCAGCGTCCAGACCAGCCCTAGGCACCTCCCAACATTATTCCAATGGGCACCAATCAATCTTTCTCGAGGGTTAAATTGTCCCGGACATAGCTAACCGCTCACCTCATCTAGTGGTAAGGTTAAGAATTAGTGGAACTATTCCTTTATTCCTCAGTACTTCTTCATGGCGTGATGTATAATTAATCACAGGAACAACTTTACATTTACCTTATGAGTCAGCTTGTAATTATTTATGGTATATTTAACAATGTTGTCTGTAACTCAGATTATGGCCTGTAGCTCCGAATAGTAGGATCATAACTGAATAATGAATTAGAAAGGATATGGAAGGAAGTGGTCGTGTCCCATTTTGAAGCACTATCCCGACATTTTTAATATTATTATTTGTTCAAACTGTAAATGGTTTTTTTTCCGGTGGCAGTAGCACTACAATAAGACACAACACAAATAATACACATCACACAAAGTAACACAACACACAAAACTACACAACCAATAAAGGACACACTACACGCAATGAACAAAATGCAAATACAGCGTCTACAAATATAATTACAACTACAATTAAATAAATTAATATTAATAAAAAATAAGTATACTATACACTAAACAATAACGAAATACGCAGTTTGTCTCAGGGGACTGAGAAAACCACGTAAAACATAAGATAATTTATATCCGAGCGGATTTCCTAGGCGTGTAAGTTCAGAATGCAATTAAAAAAAGTTTTAACACTTGAGATGACCGCCTCTGTGGTCTAGTGGTCAGAGTTCCTGGCTACAGAGCCAGAGGTCCAAGTTCGATTCCCGGCGCTACCAGACATTCTGAGAAGTAATGCGTCTGGAACGGGGTCCACTCAGCCTCGTGAGGATAATTGAGATATTTCAAGGAAATAGCGGCTCCAGTCTAGAAAACCGAAATTAACGGCCGTGGGGATTCGTTGCGCTGACCACGTGACACCCTCTATCCGCAAAAGTTGGCACTACCTTCGCCGACAAGCGGCGGTCGCTCGGTCGGTATAGTTCGCTTGCAGACTAAAACCACGGTGTTTGTTTGTTAACGCATTAGATAACTTGCTCCTTCAAAGTATGCACGAAACGAGCTATATGTGTACACGAGGGGTGAAAACATGCTTCATTTCTCTTCCTTAGGCATTCGGTATCCAGACCGTAAGTGGCTGCGGCGCCCTACGCATTGGGGCGGAGCTCCTGGTCAGACATGCCAAATATACCACCTTCTACATTTCGGCACAGACATGGGGTGAGTTACCAACAATAACTTAATTGAGCAGAGCCCTATTTCAGAAGTTGCTAGCCAATAAATTTAGTTCATTTAATGAGCCCCGAATGTTCAATGCCATGCTCACAAAACCTCCTCCTTGGTCACTATTCTGAGCTAAATGAATCCAGTTAACACTGCCACATTATCATCCCATCTATACCCATGCCTTCCAAGTTGTCTGTTTCATTCAGATTTCCGAGACATATGATTTCATTACAAGTGCTTCAGTCCTAAATCATTCGGAGTTTTGGTACTGAGACTTTGTTCTCCAAACTTTGATGACAATATTTGATCAATTTCTCTATGGGTATACTGAGCGGAGCCGGTCACGGTAGCCGATCGGTCTAAGGCATGCACTGTCTTCGCTCGCTCGAAAACCGGGATCGTGGGTTCGAATCCCACTCAGGGTATGGATGTTTGTGTAGGTCAATTTTTCTGTGTTTGTGTACAGGTAGAGTCCTTACGACGAGCTGATCATCCATCCAAGGAGTCCTACCGACTGTCTAAGATCTAATAAACGGAAGTGAAACGGAGAGTTTCATAGAAGTAGGCCAAGGCCCAAATTGGGGTTGTAGCGCCAAAGGAAGAAAAAAATACTGTACGCAATCCATTTTTATGTATATATCATATACACGACGTTAACGATTTATTTTTACTCCTGTCTTCTGATATATGGCCATCAAAATGAAAGCAGTGACAATCCTTTCGACTTTTATAGACCGAAAAGTAACAGCTTAAACGGGTAATCAAGTTTGGGACTTGAGATTTGTATGAGTACGGAGGAAAGGAAGACCAACGTAACGTGTTTGTATGTCTCCTACAAAAGCAGAAGAAACTACTACTTTTTAGCATATGAGTTGAAGTGTACGGCTTTAAACAGGATTTCTCTCTTCACCACTTTGACCAGCCCTGTCCAATGGGTGTCGAGGGCTCTTTCCCCGGCGATAAAGTGGTCACGAAGTGAAGTTGACCATTCACTTCCATTTAGCGCTGAAGATTAAGAATGACTTCAGTAGACCTCCGCCGGTCACAGTGGCCTCGCGGTCTAAGACATGAACTATCTTCGCCCACCAAAGCAGTAGGGTCGTGGGTTCGAATCCTACTCGAGGTATGGTTGTCTGTGTACGTTTATTCTGTTGATGTTTTTCTGTGTGTAGGTAGCGGCCTTGCGACAAGCTGATCCCCCGTCAAGGGAGTCCTACCGACTGTGTGTAGATTAAGAACTAAAAAAGCGGCCAAGGTTAAACAAAGGGATGTAGAGCCATAGTAGAATAGAGTAAATCTCCACTTATCTACATGTCATTACTGGCTCGAGTGAAGCTTAATTAATTAAACTTTACTTTTGTTTACAGTTTCCTTGCGTCACGTTTGACATTTTTCTTATCTCGAATGAGATACCTTGCTGTAAATTTTCCTGTTTTAAAAGTGTCGCGTTTGATTAAGTATAGAAAATAAATCCTTCCGCTATCTCATGACAGTTTAAACTAGCTCTTTTAGACTTTACAGCTTTACAGCCATTTGTTGGACTTGGTAGTTTTTCAGTTTCTTGATCATTTTACACATTCGGTAGGACTCCTTAGATGGAGGATCAGCCAGCCGCAAGGCCGTTACCTACACACAGACAGTACAAACACAGACTCAACGCAAACAGACATCCATGATTCCAGTGGGATTCGAACCCACTATCCCAGTGTTCGAGCGGGAGAAGACAGTTGATGCCTTAGACCGTGCAGCCACTGTGATTGGCGGAAATTATTATTACACACACACAAATCATTTAAATATTTCTTTTGCTAAAACCAGTACTAAAAGAGTTAAGAACACAAAGTGCAAACCTACTTGGTGGTTACTAATATTGTATAGTCAGGCTGACGCAGTTGGAATATTATCCTTTTGTGTGTTTCTAATTTGCTGCAGATAACCATGAATCGACGTTCCTCTACGCGGGATTTTCGACTTGTTGTCAGTACCGATACTGGGATCCTGTCAAGAAGGGCGTTGATTTCGAGGGTATGATAGAGGATCTCCAACAAGCCCCAGAAAATGCTGTTATTATCTTACAAATGTGCGCGCATAATCCAACAGGCTGTGACCTTACAAAGGAGCAGTGGAGTAAAGTAGCTGATATCATGCAGGTAACATGGCGTTTTGTGTTGGAAGTGAAATATTTTCCGTGCTCTGTTGATTGTACTTGCTCCACGAGTTACCCTTATCAGTGTTAAAAAACTGCCATTTGTATTGTTCTGAAGTACAGTAAAACCTGAAAGGTTCTACCTTTTGCGATATGAAGCCACCAACGTGGGAACTTCAAATCCTGTACAGTAAAACCTGAAAGGTTCTGCCTTTTGCGACATGAAGCCACCAATGTGGGAACTTCAAATCCTACACAGTAAAACCTGAAAGGTTCTGCCTGTTGCGACATGAAGCCATACAGTAAAACCTGAAAGGTTCTTCCTTTTGCGATATGAAGCCACCAATGTGGGAACTTCAAATCCTACACAGTAAAACCTGAAAGGTTCTACCTTTTGCGACATGAAGCCACCAATGTGGGAACTTCAAATCCTGTACAGTAAAACCTGAAAGGTTCTGCCTTTTGCGACATG